AAATTTGTTCCTCTTGGTTTCTGAGGACAAGACAAGGAGTAATGGGCTTAAATTGTAGCAGGGGAGGTTTAGATTGGACATTAGGAAAACATTCCTAACTGTCAGGGTGGTCAAATATTGGAATAAATTGCCAAGGGAGGTGGTGGAATCTCCCTCTCTGGAGATATTTAAGAACAGGTTAGATAGACATCTGTCAGGGATGGTGTAGACGGAGCTTGATCCTGCCTTGAGGGCGGGGGGCTGGACTCGATGACCTCTCGAGGTCCCTTCCAGTCCTATTATTCTATGATTCTATGATTCTATGAATAAAGGGGAATAATGACATCTCTGGATCTGCTGGCAATGCTCCTCTTAATGCAACCTAATATGCCATTCGCCTTCTTGGCTACAAGGGCACCCTGCTGACTCATCTCCAGCTTCTCATCCACTGTCATCCCCAGGTCCTTTTCTGCAGAACTACTACTTAACCGGTTGGTCCCCAGCTGTAACTATGCTTGGGATTCTTCCGTCCCAAGTGCAGGACTCTGCACTTGTCCTTGTTGAACCTCATCAGATTTCTTGTGGCCCAATCCTCCAATTTGTATTGGATCCTATCAGAGGCAGTGGTTCTGTTAGTCTGACATCCTGCCTCTGACAGAGTCCGACACTGACAGTTTCAGAGGAAGGTGCAACAAACCTTGTAGTAGGCAGTTATATGAGAACATATCCGGAGGGGGGGGGAGGGAGTTTCTTCCTACTCTCCCATAATTAGAGATTGGCTCATGCCCTGAAAAAAGCCAAAAGGCTTGTTTAAAAAAATAGTTCCTGTGAAAATTGGGACTTCTTGGCCATTTCTCCTTATAATTCATCTAAACTCTTCCAAATAAAATTGTCCCTGGGTCTGATCTTGTGTCACTGAAATCTTTGCCAGGTTTGTCATTGATTTCAATGGAAGCAGGATCAGCCCCATATGCTATTGTGTAACTGAAGACTTACTTTTCCACCAGCCTGTAGCGTTGAAATCTCGGCTGGAAAGACTCGATGGTTAGAATTAAATCAGCTATCATCGCCAGTGTGATGGGCATCCGAAAGACAGTTAATAGTATAGTCCAGCTGGAAACATTTCCATAGAGGCTTGATGTTTACTTCCTGTTCTGCTGAGCTATCTCACAGCCATCAGGTTCATCCCCAGAAGTGGTTGCATTCCAGTACTGGGTGAAGCGATGGCTATCTCCTATAAATCACAATTCGAGGGGAGGGGGTGTGTGGCAGGGTGAAAGTTTCTATATAAGGGCAAACAAAGTATTCTCATTGCTCCAGGATGCAACTGAAATTCTCCAGTGAGTGTATTGTGCAAGTATCTTGGAGTTAAAGATAGGCTATGCAGGTGGTGAGAAAATGGCGCTGTAGTGTAGACGTACCCTTGGAGTTAAACAACAGTCTATCCAGGTGGTGAGAAAATATTAAGTCATGCAAGTGCTGCATTTTGGGTTTTCAGTAAACCAGCATTGCGAAATAACAAATCCCAGCAGGAAGTGGCCCCATGCGGCTAGGGATTCAATCCCTAGAATTTTCCCTCTGCAAGAATAAATATGATTTAAAATTATAGCTCGTATTGCACAAGAACAAAAGGAAATCAACCCACCCACCCAAGTGTGATTGAAGGCTGCAGGAGAGGCCAGCTCTGGGTCCAGGTGGGATCTGCATTTTCTAATGGGGATAGAGACTGGGTAGGGATTTTTAATCCTATGAGACAAAGACGGTTTTACAAAGGAAAATCAAAATCTGAGTCTGTCTGCTGGACTTCTCATTGGATACATCAAGCTAACAGAAATGGGCAGGACCTGGAGACAGATCTTGGGAGGAAGCTAGGAAAAGAGGATCCAGTGCCTGTGATGCATGGCCCTGGCGTAGCCATAGAAAACTGGCCACTTTGCACAAGGAAGGGAGCTGACCTGTATTTCTTAGGGTGGCAATACGTTACCACTCTTGGCTTTCCCCAGGGAAGGTGGGATGTGCCTAGCTGGCCAGCGGATATCAGCAACCTGCAGAAGATGCGTTTACCTTATCTCCATTGCCTTTCAGCACGTGGCTGCTAAAATGTGCTTCCGCAAGGATGTTCAGCAGCTTGCTTTGGGCAGGGATAGGCGTCTCTGTATCTCCTCAGAGGCCTGATGGCTAACTCGGTTCTCACTCTTCTCGGGCAGTTCATCTCAGGATGGGAGCTGGGGTACCCCTGAACAGGATGCTGAATGCATTCCCATCCTGAACGGACTCTGACCAGTGTCCACAGAGCCACCATCTTGCTGATGGGTCTTTGGGGGGCGAGGGGGGAATGTATATCTGGGACTCTAAGTCAAGGTAGCACGTCCACTTTAAGGGATGAATGTTGAGGCTTCCTGGTGGCATGAACACGCTATTTCGAAATAGTTATTCTGGGAGTTATTATTTTGAACTAAGTTATTTTGAAATAAGTTCCTAGTGTAGACATGCCCTGGGAGTGAAACTGGTTTCAGGTATAACAATTCCAATGTTCCCAGAACTATGTTTAAACATGGCTAGTGCAGAAATGAGAAACTGAATTCTCTCTGTGAATTTAACCTGGAGGGCACAGTTCTTGATAGATGTTCTAGAGCTGGGAATCCCCTGCCTTCTCCCTGACAAAGCCCTGTTTAGGTTGATTTAGTTGGGGATGGTCCTGCTTTGGCGGGGGGCTGGACTTGACGACCTTCTGAGGTCACTTCCAGCCCTGGGATTCTATGATTTAGCTTTCCTTACACTAAACAATGGTGCTTAACAGGCAGCGAGACACAGAATTCCATTCATTCACTTGTTGCTTAATGGTGTTTCCTGCCACCATCCAGAAAATATAGTTATGGATTTGTTCTAATGCATTACACCATTTTTTTCTAATGTGCAGTCCTAGAACAGGGGTGGCCCACCTGCGGCTCATGAGCACCATGCGGCTCTTCTCCCCCAAAAGTGCGGCTTGCAAAGCCACTCCTGCGCGCGCCTTCCCCCCCCAATAGCCTGGCTCACCTGTGCTCACCGGGCCGGCGATTCAAAATGGCACCCAAAATGGCGGCCATCAACAGGAGCCTGATATAGCCAAAAAGCCTAAGCTCATTTTTTTTTTTGGCTTGACACTTCTGGGGAGCTTTCCTTTTTTCCTCCCCCTTGACAATTCTGGTACTGCTCTTCACATTTTTTCCACCGCTGTTTGGGCTCTCTCTCTTAAATTTGTTGGCCACCCGTGTCCTAGAAGCTAACCTTTCCACCTGGCCAGCAGTCGATTTCCTGTGCTTAAAGGGGGAATGCCACTATCAATGAGGTCTTATAAAAATGCCACGCTTCCTGCAGAGCAAGTAGAATTGTTAGTGCCTAGGGCTATGTTTCTCCATTTTATAACATTTTCACTCTGTTCCTCGGTAGATATTCTGCATTCTCTTCCCTATACCCCACTAAGAACCTGCAAATGATGGAGAGGAAAGAAAGCCAATATCTCCAGATATTTCTTTTGTGGCAATGAGCAGGTATACCCCTGGCCTCTGCCCAAAGGGGAACTGAAGTTTATTGCAGTTTCGGAGAAGTACTTATATTTTTATAGTCTAAGGATTTCCAATTCCCACCTCATTTTCAAAATATGCATCAAACAAATCATACAAGAAACTTTTCCTTTTCCAAGGCTGCAGACATCATGTTCCCAGATTGGTAACGAGGAGGAAGAAATAAAGATCGCAGGGTAAAGTGGCTTCCATTGACTTGAGTTTGTAATGTAGACCAGGCCTAAATGCTATTCAGAATTGTTTGACTTCTTTCCGGTTTGACTCAGTGTGCATAGATGATTTTATGTCAGAATCATTTGCATGAGTTTGCGGGCCGTGGGAGTTTAACAGATTTGGGTTCAAACAAACTTGGTTTTGTCAGAAGCAAAATCTCCCTGCAAACCCACTGGCAAGACTCAGGTTCATGCTCTTTGGGGTGGGTTATGTGTTTTGCGAGAAGAGAGGACAGGCCAAGAACACTGTTTGAATCGTAGAATCCTAGGGCTGGAAGAGACCTCAGGAGTCATCAAGCCCAGCCCCCTGCCCAAAGCAGGATCAACCCCAACTCAATCAGCCCAGCCAGGGCTTTGTCAAGCCAGGACTTAAAAACCTCTAGCGATGGAGATTCCACCCCCTCCCTAGGGAACCCATCCCAGTGCTTCCCCACCTTCCTAGGGAAATTGTTTTTCCTAATATCCAACCTAGACCTCCCCCCGTAACTTGAACTTGAAAGGCAGTGACAAACAGCTGCCTACAACTAGCTGCAGAGAGAAGAAAAACATTTTGTATGTCTGGATGCGTCAGCAAGTTTAGAACCACAGACAGAATTCATGTGAACCAGAGCAGGTTTGAAAAGCAGCACTCATGCAACGTTCAGCGTAAATTTGAATGTGGTTGGAATTCAGGTCAAATGGTTCACAATTTCTAGTGTCCTTTCGGGTAGCAACCTGTATGCTCTTTGCATGACATGGCCGTATCTTCCTACGGCTCAGGATAAACACTGGAACTAATTGCCTAGGGAGGTGGTGGAATCTCCATCAATGGAGGTTTTTAAGAACCGCTTAGACAAACACCTGTCAGGGAATGGTTTAGAATGATCCTTAGTCCTGCCTCAGTGCAGGGGACTGGACTAGCTGACCTCTCATGGAGACAGCATTTTCAGAGATCATTGCTACAGCCCAGCCTGGAAAGGATGCTTTTGCTAATTTGGCTTATTCAAGGGCTGGCGGATCGATGACGCGAGGTACCTAGTAACAAGCAAGTATCTCCTAGCGACATGTTCTCTTTCTTAGCAACCGCTCAGCTTCTCCTAGCAACTGCAGCCCTTTGGACCCTAAACTGTTACCCCCTCCCACAGGGGGTTTTGCAGCACCGTCTCTGCACAACATCTCGATCCGATTAACAGGAAATGGGATTTTGCACTAATCTGCAGACATCAAAAGCAAGAGAGAGAGAATAAAAAATCTTGGTCTCAAAGTAGTTTCAGATCATTCTAAAAAATATGTGTTAATAAAATGCAGACGGGATTGTTATGAATATAGGGGAGCTGGATTTAAAGATGGGATTGTGTATTAGAGCCAGAAATGGAATTTAATACAAGTAGGTGAATTTTTAAATCATTTTTCTTTTGTAGGAAATGGTTGATGTATCCACAAACTTTATAAATGGTTTAATTGGGAAGGAATACGTTAGAAATCTTCTTTGGTTAGCTGAGTGGTTTGTTTTGGTTCCACATGGTGCAAACATTTGGAGTTTTATTATCTAGTATACTACGACTACTGTAATACTATACTCTGCTTTTTAGTTAAAAAACCAAAACTCCTAGATTTTCAACTGGAAACTGAAAATGTGTCATTGTTCAATGTTTACACTCCTAGATTTTCAACTGGAAACTGAAAATGTGTTGTTCAATGTTTATACTTTAATTGTTTTGCTTATTACTTAATCAAACACTGTTTTTCAGTAACTGCTGCATTGTAATTGAGTGAACTTTGCATGCTGGTGAAATCCTTTATTATTGGCTATTAGGAAAATGTATATTTCGTGTCTGATTGCCATTTTTCTAAGTTTCGGTCTATTTGGATTTTTACTGGAAAAGAGAGAGGTTGAGAATGGTTGTAGGATACGATCAAAAGATTTGAGACTGGATTTTGAATAATTAATTAATCCAAATGAAAACACAACTTCTGTGCAGTAATAACTAGATGCAGATATAAGATTACACATCTACACAGCTAAGGAGCTATTCAATATGTGATAACATGGGCTTTTCAATTTTTGCCTATTTAGTTATTTTCTTATTTATTTACTTAATTATCCAAATTTTCCCTCACAAATTTACCCCACGACAAACGCAAAAAACTGCCACCAAAACAACCAACATATTGATTTTGGGGGTGACTTCTGAGCATTGAGTAAGGTGATCACCAACCACGGACACCTGATGATTTTTTTTACTTAAACTTATCAGGCATATTAAACTAATAACATTAATCATGTGGGCTTGATTTATCAAATATGGATGGTGGAGGAGGACATACAGATTCTGTATTTGCACGCTCAAGTTCATAGAATCATAGAACACTAGAACTGGAAGGGACCTCGAGAGGTCATCAAGTCCAGTCCACTGTCCTCATGGCAGGACCAAGCACGATCTACATCATCCCTGAAGTTGGCAGTTGGAACAGAAAATGAACATTATGTGTTTTATTGATCATTTAGATGTAGAAATGAGGGATTTAGATGGTGCTCTACAGGTGTTCCTGTTGGAAAATTGGGCTCTCGGCTGTTGTTTGATGGATTATCATAGCGGGATGAGTTTATTTTTCTACAAATGATCTACACACTTTCTGATATTTTCATCTGGTCTCCCATTTATTTTTGTTACCAACATTAAAAGAAAGTCTCTTGTAGTTAAAACTTTCATCCCACAAATTACATTTAGTTGATATTCATCTATTTAGGTGCTTTGTCAACATTTTGGATTAATCAGTATCTATTTTCTTGAGAGTGGGGGTCTTTCCAAATGGCTAAAATTTCCGTGGTCCCTCCTTTCAGCCCCCTGATTATGTGTTTGGCATAGTCGTGTGTTCTCATTAATCTGCAAATGGGCTTTGATAGGTAGCTTATGAAGCAATGGTCTTTCAACCTGACATGTAACCCTCCTCCCCATGTCTCTTGCCTGTAATATACACAGACTCAGAAATGGCTGGAAAAATCCTGTTCTTGTTTCACTGATTTTGTTTCCCCTTCCGTAGATCCCCACCTCACTCCCCTTTTGTGGCTTGCAGTGGTGTGCGGGATGAGTTCGCCTTCGCTGCCGCTGACCTGGGTTTTGAGCAGGTAGAAGACCTGTGGACGGCTCCCAAGGGCCCCTTGCTACAGGTACAAAAATGCTTCTAATGCTTGCAATGCAGGTGTTGCAGATTGCTAACCACCCTCTCCGGGAGTGCGACAAGTACTTGCAAGTGTATGGGCGATCCTCATGGGGATGTGGAGCTTTGGTTTCTGCTCGGGGAGCTTCTGAGAGGGGCAGATTGCCAGTTCTTTTCCGCAGGCTGTGGGAGAAGTAGCTCAAGGAGCTGAGCGGCTGCAGTAGTTTCCAAGGTCGCTTTCCCTATGTCCTCGTTCTCTGAGATGTGCAAAGGTCGTAAACGTCTTGCAAGGGTTTCCAGCCCCTTTTCTGGGGAGGGGAGCCC